TTTACAGAAGGGAAAACCGAGGGCTGGGGAGGGCCAGGGATTTCCCTTACTGAAGTCCTGCAGCAGGGGAGGGGCGGGGCAGGAAGGGCAAGGACCCTGCCATGATGACCCCATCTTCTCTGCCCCAGCCAGCGGTCCCGCCTGCAGCGCACGCCCTACCACTACTACGAGCCCAAGGGGCCGGACGAGTGTGTCACCTACATCCAGAATGAGCACAGCCGCAAGGGCAACCACCACCGCTTCATCACCGAGAAGAGGGTCTTCTCATCGTGGGCCCAGCTGTACGGCATCACCTTCTCCCACCCCTCCTGGCCCTAGGCCACCCTGCCTGTGGGACCGGAGGAGGGACACTGGAGAAGTGGCTCTCCGCCCAGCGACTCAACCGTGGGCTGTCTTCTGGCCAATCAAAGCTGGCTGGAGTGTCTCTCAGCCAATCAGGGCCTTGACGAGAATGTATCCTCCAGCCAATCAGGGCCCGGGGGTATCTCTAGGCCAGTCAGGGATTTGGGAGTCTATGTGGTTAATCAGGGGTGTCTTTCCTGTCCTGTCAGGGTCTAAGCTTAGTCATTCAGGGTATAAGGGTGCTTCTGAGTCAATCTGAGGCTAAGGACATGTCCTTTCCCATGAGGTCTTGGTTCAGAGCCCCAGGAATGGACTCCAAGTCACTCCCTCCTGGGTTGGGACAGTGGGGTCCCATCCCAAGGAACTGGGAACTTGGTGTTGCCCCCTCAGTTCCCAGAATCAGAAAGAGATCACATAGGGGTGGAAGCTGTCCGGAGGCCAGGCCAGAGAATCTGTGGGGTTGTGGGGGTTTGGGGAGTCCCAGAGGTGGGAGGCCGGTGTCCAGGTCTTGGCTGTGCCCTGAGTTACCTTGGGCAAACCCCTCCCCTCTCCGAGTGCCCTTTGGCCTGTGTCAGGTTCTGAGGTGGTCTGAGTCCCTTTCCCACCGCAGCCGACCGCCCTTGGGTCTGTTCTCCCTGAGGCTGGGTCCCCCAGCCACTGTCCCTTGCTGGGAGCCAGCTCCTGGGTGGTCTAGGGTGCCCTCCCCACCTCCTGGAAAACTTTAGGGTATTTTTGTGCAAACTGCCCCAGGGTTGGGGGACTGTGACAGGAATGGGACACCCTTCAGCTGTTTTCTTAGCCCCTCAGCCCAGCTGCCATCAGCTTGGCTCTTAAAGGGCCAGGCCTCCTCCTCTGCCCTCTAGCAGGGAGGTTTCCACCAGTTCAAGACTTTGGGGCTGAGAAAAGGGGATCCCAGCCACACTGGGGTTTCACACGGGCTCTGTCTGGAGCCGCTAAGGGCTTCTGAGGGTCTCCCCTGAGCCAGCCTGGGATGGCTGTGGGGAGCTGGGAGCTCTGTCACCTGGCTCCGTGTCAGGCACTTTATTAAAGCTGGGCCTTAGTGGGGTGTGTTTGGCCCCTGCCCTTCGGGAGCCTGGAAGGGAAGGGCTTTGGGGGGGAGGCTGTGAGGTGGGAGGGACCGGGCAGGGAGGCCAGCAGCGAGCCATTGCACACTGGGGTGATGGAGGGGCAGTGACTGCCCCAGACTTGGTTTTGTAATGGTTTGTACAGGAATAAACACACCTAAGCTCCAGCCTCGTGTCCTGTGTCTCCTGGGTGGAAGCTCAGCTGGTGCAGCGCTGCGTGCAGCAGGCACCCGTCGGTCAGGAGCGTGGAGACCTGACTGGAGGTGAGGGTACGGAGGCAAGCCCACCTGGCTTTTCCTGTCCCTGTTTTACGGTACCTGTGTGGCCTTGGGTGACGCACTTCTCTGAGAGCCCCAGTTTCTTCATGGACCAAATGGGACCAGATGCTGCCCTTAGGGAGCCCAGGTTCTAGGGAGGGGAGGCCCCCATGGCTCTGCGAAGAACTCCTGTAGAAGCTGAGGGAAGAGTTGGGCAGGAAGTGTGGAAGGGGTATGGGGGGACAACATCCTGGCCATAGGGCCAGAGGTTGTTTGGCTCAGCTCAAAGGCATGGGGGCCTGATGGGCAGGGGGCTGAAATTTCCTGCTAAGCCCTGCAGCGGGGAGGCTGGTGAGGCTGGGACCCTGGCAGGGGTGTGGTGAGCGGGGTCTCCACCTTGCTGCCAGCCTCTCACAGAAAGGCAGATTGGCAGGAGGCAGGGGGTCTGTGACTCTGAGATTACAACCTGTTTAGGCAGATAAGATGCCCTTGGGAGTGAGGCCTAACAAAGGGTGACTGTGTGAGACAAGGGCAGGCAGCCTGCTGGGATCTCCCAGGATCCCAGGGCTGCCGGGGACAGGAAAGAGAGCTTTCCCTGGGCACTGGGCCAGCCGGATGGTGGGCCACCGAGGCTGGGAGGCAAGAATGGCACCTTGGATTTGTCTCTCAGTTCTCGTAGTCAATCAGCAGCCACAGGCCATGTACTGTGCTGTGTTGAGCCCCATTGATGAGGGAGGGTGTGTCGGGGGCGGGGACGAATGGCCCCAGCAAGCCTCAGCCAGCCACAGAGCAGCGGGAGGCAGCAGTGAGAGACCAGACTGCTTGGGGCCAGATGGCAAAGGGCCGTGAGTGCCAGCCCGAGGGGGCAAAGCCTTGATCCTTCTTGCTTGGAGAAGTCCAGCGGGCCCCAGCGGGACAGTGGGGCCGCAGCAGGATGGTGGGTCCCAGGGGCTGAGCATGTGCAGGGTAATGTTGGCTGTTGGGGGAGGGTACTGGAGGGACAGAGGCTCCTCGAAAGTCCCCATCTGGGGACTACCGCCCAGCGTGGCTGTGGGGATATGGGAACATGGCCCACTTCCGGTCCTGGGCCGTGGCGGGGAAGAGGGCCCAGGAAGAGGTTTCGGGTGGAATTTCTCCCAGAATGCCCTGGCTCTTCTCTCTGCCCACCCGTGGGCACGAAGGTCCAGAGAAGGTGTCAAGAGGAGGTCTTGCTGGGGCAGACCCTGGGTAGTTCGGTTTAGCATCAGGAGTGGGACTATGGTGGACCTCAACCCCAGCTCCTCAAACTCCCACCCCGTCAGGTGGGACCCCGTGGGGACTGGTCTGCTTGCCAGAGTCAGCTTCCTGAAGCCCTCTCGGCACGGCTCTCTTTGCTCTGAAACCTTCCCTGGCTCCCCATTCATTGGCCAGAACCAAATCCACCTCCTCGATTGCTGTTCCAGGTCTCCCACACCCACCCCTGCACCCCTCTACCAGTTCCCCCTGCAAAGCCCGTGGGGCCCCACCTCTGTGGAAAGGGCCCTGCCCCCACCCTGCTTGGGGGTGTGGTGTCTCCTTCTGCGCCTCCCCCCAGCTGCGGCCCTAGTGAGTGGCAGCCAGCTGCTCTCTACGTTTCCGTCCAGCTGTTTCCTACCTCCAGCTGTTGCGGATGCTCAGGGGTTCCCCCAGGCCCTCCTGGGGCAGCCCTACCCCAACCCAGGCTCCCCCTGCACCCTGTGTGCTGACCCGTGGATCCCGCGGTGAACTTCAGAGTGAAGAGGCCCCAGAATGCTCCACCCTGGCTGGTTTGTTTTAAGCCTTGGAATTCTGTCTTTAACCAAAATATTTTTTTAATGTTTTAAAAAATGGGTTTCATTTTTATATGTTTCTGTTTTTAGATTGTTGGTCATAAAATAACTTAAATTGTATGAATGATATGGTAGAAAGGGAAGGCACCACCCAGCTCTATTGCCTGTTAGTGTAGGATGTAATCTTCCAGATCTTTCCTCCATGCAGTTTTTTCCCTCCCTTTCCCTCTTTTTCCCTCCCCGTTGCCCCTCCTTTTTTCTTTCTTTAGGTTATAGCTGGGAAATAAAACCCTGAAACTTTAATATCTCACCATTGGTGGAAAATCCATTGTTCATATACAAGTGAAATAATTAAAACAGGTACTTAAAATGTTTTTATTTATAGACTTTATTTTTATTTATTTTTTTTTTGAGACAGAGTCTCACTTTGTTGCCCAGGCTAGAGTGAGTGCCGTGGCTTCAGCCTAGCTCACAGCAACCTCAATCTCCTGGGCTCAAGCAATCCTCCTGCCTCAGCCTCCTGAGTAGCTGGGACTACAGGCATGTGCCACAATGCCTGGCTAATTTTTTTCTATATATCTTAGTTGGTCAATTAATTTCTTTCTATTTATAGTAGAGATGGGGTCTCGCTCTTGCTCAGGCTGATTTTGAACTCCTGAGCTCAAATGATCCGCCTGCCTCAGCCTCCCAGAGAGCTAGGATTACAGGCGTGAGCCACCGCGCCCGACCTAGACTTTATTTTTAAATTGCTGTGAAAAAAAACCACATAATATAAAATTAACCAGGTTAGCCAACCAGCTCACACTGTTGTACAACAGATCTCCAGAACTTTTTCATCTTGCTGATCTGAAACTCCATCCGGTGAAACCGGCTCACCCTCTCACCTCTCCCAGCCCTGGCAGCTGCCGTGCTACTGTTCTGTTTCTGTGAGTTTCTCTCCTGTAGATGCCTCATGTTAATGGAATCACACACTGTTTTTCTGTTTATGACTGGCTTATTTAACCAGCGTAATGTCCTCGAGGTTCATCCATGTCAAAGTTGTTTTATGAAAAGTAATAGATGCTTGTCGTGCGGAGGAACAGAAAGAAGCTTGGGGAAGCCCTTACGTAGGAAGTGAAAGTCTCGCCTGTAGCCAGGTGGTCACACACCCCACAGCCGCCTTCTCGGCCCTGTTTCATTTCAGCAGTTCTAGGATGTTATCAATTTGAATGCAAAACAACGTGATTTTAACTTTGCAGAATTAGAATGCCAAAAATATATATATCTGGGAACAGATTTTACAAACACATGCAACGTCCCTGTGTAGTTAGCGTCATTTTTATGCAGGTGGGATCGGACCAGCACAATCGGGCTTTTTGGCAGTTTCTCACCAACGCTATGTGTGTCCAGGGCCTCTTGCCCCACCAGCTGAGACGAACGTGGGCTTCCTTTCTCGCTCGGACTCTGCGGCAGAGTCGTCACCTCCCCATCTCCCCTAGCTGTGCCACCAGCCCAGTCAGTCCCCACTGGCCCTAGAAAACCTTCCTGTGTGAATTTTTGTGCCCACATGTGTTTATTTGAAATGAATTTCTAAAAGTGGAAGGGGCACATCCGAAGCATTGGTTTACATCGTCAACTTGCTTTCCCCAAAGGTTGTGCCAGTGCATGCACCCATGAGAGAACCTCAAACAGCTTCTAATGCAGAGCCTCTGACCCACAGCGCCCACCCCCAACTAAGCTCCCAAGTAAGGACACTTGTCTGACACCACAGGTAGCAGAGCTGGGACTGGACGCAGGCCTCCTGGTGTCTGGCTGCTGTTGTTGCTAAGGCACCACCACCTAAGGTTGTCTCAATCTCCTGGTAGTCTCACTGTCTTGCTCAAATACCTTCCATGGCTCCGTAGTGCCTAGAAGACAAATTCCAAATTCAGTCCACCCTGCCAGCTGGGACTGCTGCCTTCAAGGTTGTGATGTGAGCTGGTGGATGTTCGAGTGCTGAAGTCCTGAAGCTGGACAGCCGTGGGCTCTCGTTCCTACCCTGCTACACTATTGAGGGCCTCCCGTTATGTGGCAGTCCCTCTGGAAAATGCTGGGCAAACACATGGCTTTCTACAGGGAAGCTCAGGCGGGCAATTGACGTGCTGGCTTCACATTCCTTCTCCGTGTTTAAAGGGCACAGTGAGTGCTCGTTAGTGGGAGCTATTCTTTTCGTCACGGTCATCCATCCCCGTCTGGGTACCCACAGCATCCTGAACGTCCCGCATCCCAGCACTAACTCACTGGGAGCTGTCTTGCAGCTCCATGGGGACAGGGCTGTTTTTTATAATCTTCTACATTCTATGGGTGGCCTTTGTGGCGCTGGGGAGTTTCAGTTCCAGAGGAGCTTGAAGGGCCCCTCCCAACAGGGTGGAGGAGTCCCAGGTGGGGCTGGCCCCAGAGCCTCTGGGCAGGCTCTGAGGAGGGGCGGGCAAAGCCGGGAGTCCACGCCTCCTGCCTCCCTCCCTTCCCTCCCTGGTCTGCTTCTCTCTGCCACCAATGCGCTGTGGCTTCTTGTGCAAAGAGCCTCTCCTCTCCAGGCCTCAGTTTCTCCAACTGCCATCCAGAGAGCCTGGACTTGTACACTGGAGTATACCCAGGGCACAGTGGCGGTAACAGAGGAATGGAAAACTCTTGGCAAACTGTAGAGTGTGGTGCACATGTGTGGGCCCAGCCACCAGGGGGTGCACGGGGCGGGGGCGCCAGCCTTGCCTTGGCTTCCCATGGACTGAGGCGGTCTCCACTCTATTCCCGGTCTCCCGTCCGCTCTCCCTCCCCCTTCCCTCCCTCCCTGCCCTCGCTGGGAGCGCTGGCTCCCGGCATGCCGCGCGCGTGCTGACAGCCTTATAAATAGTCGCCTGTGCAGGCGGCCGGCGAGGACAGGCAGGGCACGCACTGGCCCCAGTGCCCACCCGCACCCCTCCCCAGGTCCCCAGGTCAGTGCGTGCCGGTGGCTGTCTGGAGGGAGCGCCACCTGGGGGAGGGCGGGGGCGTGTTTTTGTCGCTGTCCTTGGGTTTTGTATGTGTGTGTGTGTGTATCCGTGGGTATGATCTGTGTATGTGTGTGTGTGTATTACCCAGGCTCTGGTTGTTTGTGCCTCCCTGCCTGTGCCTTTGTGGATCCGTGCATGTGTATGTGCGTGCGTGCATGTGTGTGTGTGTGTGTGTGTGTGTGCGTGCGCGCTGCAGGTCCTCCCAGCCTCGCAGACAGTCACCCCTTTGTCACTCCTGGGGCTCCAGGTCCCTGCCCTTGGCATGTCCCAGCTGGGGCCCAGGGAGGGGGGACTGTGGCCTGGCTCCCTGCCCCAGAGGACCAGGGCAGGGACAGCCTGTGTGCTGGGAGGGGGTCTCCTGTCACGTCACTTTGAGTGTTGGGGGAACTGGAAGCCCCCAGATGCTTAGCCCCTGTCCCAGCCTCCTGGCTGGAGCTCCAGGGCCAGCACTTGGGACCTTCTGCAGCACTGCTCAGCTGCCCACACAGCACTCTCCAGCAGCAGTGGGACAGGCCCAGGAGGGGACTCTGGCTGCCCAAGGTCACCCAGCTGAGTGGTGCAGCTGGGATTTGAACACCAGTTGGTTGCCAAGTGCTGGGAAAGCTGCTCTTGGGCAGGAGCTGGGATACCTGGGCCTTGCCTGGCCTCACCTTGTAGTTGGAGTTAAGTAAGTCATTGTCCCTCTTGACCCAGGCTCCCCAGGCCACTGAGCAGGCCACTCAGTGATGCTAGGAGTGGCTGGGGCCCTGGCCCCGGGGCCTTATAAGGCCTGGTGCTTAGCCCGTAACCCAACTCTGTCCTGGACCCCTGGCCTCTGTGAGGTCTCCTCACAACCCAAGTTATTTTGGTCAAGGAAGTGGCAGGTGCCAGCAGGACGGAGGGGCTTAGGTTACTAGGAGGGGGCGGGGCAGGGTCGAGCCACTTCTCAGCACTTCACTGTGGTTGTCCCTGGCTGGGGACAGTCCTCCACCCCTGGGCAGCTGCTGAGGGGTGCTTGGCAGCTCCTACCCCTCCTTGAGCGCACTCAGCAGGAAAATGCTGTGCGCTCATGCCCTCAGCCTCAGAGGCCATCGGTAAAGGTGCTGAAGTTCCTGCCAGGTGCCCGGCCCAGAGCAGCAGAAAACCAGACCCAAGTTTCACCCCAGCAGGGCCCTTGAGCTATTTGTCCTTTCCGAGCTGCCATTTCCTCCTAAGACGACAGCGGGGATGGAGTGGGCTCCCCAGCCCTGGGCCAGGCCCAGTCAGTGAGGACACGGCCCGCAGTGTAGTGAAGACGCCCAACACAGCTCGGTGTGTGCGAAGCCTGGGGAAGGTCAGAAGGAGGCACCTGCCAGTGTGGGAGCGGAGGGCAGAGTCCAGGAAGACTTCCTAAAGGAGGTGACACCCGAGCTGAGTCCTAAACAATGTCGAGGTGGGGAAAGGTATCCAGGCATTGAGTACACCATCTGCTAAGGCCTGACCCGCACCATCATGGCGGGTGATCGAGTCCAAGCAGTGCCAGTGGCAGCTGAGAGGTCTGCGGAGGGTGGAGGGGTCCTGAGGTCATGGATTGGAGAGGGGCTCAGGAGCAGGGAGGTTGGGAGGTGGGGGTGCAGGGGTGTGGGAGGAGAGCCTTCGTGCTGACCAGTCTCTTGCTTGGTGATCAGGGCCTGGAGCCAGGGCTCTGCAGGGCTGTTAGTAACTGAGAGGGTCTATGGGCCTTTGGGGCATGGCCGTCCTGGGCTTGGGAGGGAGGCCTGGCCTGGCTGCACAGGGAGCCTGAAGCCAAGAGTGAGAGGGCAGTGGAGGGGCTGGGGTGGGGTCCCAGAATCAAGGGTCAAGCGAGGTTCAAGCAAGAGTGGCTGTGATGGTCACTGGTGGCCTTGGAGAGGGCTGGTGGGGGGTGAAGACATAGAGGCCAAAGGTATATGGAGGACACCTCTGCGGGACTGCTGAGAAGGGGGCTGTGGGCCGTCCTAGGGGGCCGGGGAGGCACAGAGTGGGGACACAGCAGCGATGGGGTCTCTTTGCTTGCTGAGGGGAAGGAGGGCAGTGAGGCTAGGTGAGAGGGCGGGGATCCACGGCCCTGTGCAGCAAGATGAACCTGCACAGGGGCAAGAGCCTGGGACCACCTCATTTGGAAAACTGCAAAGGCTTGTGTCCCTGTGAGCAGCTCCTACAGACCCGCCCTTCAGGCCTCTGTGTTCCCTGGAGCATCCTCATCCAAACCTTGGCCCAGAGGAGGACACACGTAGCTCTGTCTGCCTCCTGGCAGCTTTCCCCAGCCCTGGGGAGCGTTGTCAAGGCATCTGGGTGACGCTGGACCCAGGCCCTGTCTCCTGGGAGTGGCTGGGGAGCAGCTCAGCCTCCTTGCCCCTCCAGCGGGAACAGAGGGGGCTGGCAGTGGGTGGGGGTTACTGCCCTCCTGTGACTCTTGTGAGAGTTACTGCCCTACTGTGAGACTCTTCCAAGGTCACCCAGCCTCCTGGGCCTTCCCTGCCCCATCGGCCCCCCTGCCCTCAGATTGCATGCGGGGCCTGGTGTGGCTTGGTGGGAGCTGGTCAGGGTGGGGATGAGCCACCCCGCCCCCACCCAAACCTGTGTCCTTGTCTTGCAGAGCACTGACTTGGCTCCCAGGACCTCAGCAGGATGGAAGGTATGAGGCTCCTCTCTGTCCCACTTGTTGCCGGGCCTCAGTGTACCTGTCCATGCAGGGGGTGTGCGCGCAGGTCGTTCTGGGGGTTGGAGGAGGCCCCGGGGCTGCCAGAGTGAGCCTGTCTGGCAGCCACCGGTATCCTCTTCTGGCCTCTCATGGGCTGTGCCAGCTTCAAAATTAATTTTAGAAGCAACAAGTCCTCCCTGAGGCTCCTGAGGGCCCCAGGGCTCCCCTCCTACGCTGGTATTTGTGGAGCTGAGTCCCTACCTCTTTCTGGAGAGGAGGCGTGGGGGAGGGGAGGCCTGGCCCGTGGAGAGGCACCGAGCATGCAAAGTGCCAAGCCTTTAGGATGAGGCAAGTTCCTGTCCCTCTCTGGGACTCAGTTTCCCTGTCATCCAGTGGGGCTTTGAGGAGGTCTTGGGCCCTCCTGGCTCCTGGGGGTGGGAGGGAGACACAGGGCAGGCAGAGGGCCCAGAACGGGCCGCCCTGGGCTGCTGGCAGCCACATCTATCCAGACCCTGGCACCGTGCCTTGGCCTAGGTGGCTCTTAAAGGAGCTCTCGGGCCTGGCTGCTGCAGCTGCCTGGAGCCAGTGGTCGCCCTTCTGCCCCGAACTTCGAACATCAGCCACTGCAGCGCTGTGGCCTCCCCCCACCCCCAGCTGTGCCTCCCCCTGGGACGGGAGCCCGAAGGAGGAGTCGTTCTTCTGACAGCTCCTCTAGGCCTCCAGCCTCAGAGCCAGGAGGGCCCTGGGAGCCGCCAGCCACCCCCTCAGTGGGCCGGGGACAGAGAACCAGAGAGGGACAGAGGCTTCTTCCTTGGGGTCACACAGCAGGGTGGGTTACAGCCTGAGAAGAGGGGAAGCCTGGGAAGCCTGGGGCAGAGACCTGGGTTCTGGTTCCAGTTCTGACATCCCTTGTGCAGGCCCCTCCCTCTCTAGGCCTCAGTTTCCCTCTGCCCAGATCTAACGGCCGGTGTGGCGAGGCAGAGGCTGGAACGCAAGTTCGCCTCCCTGTCCGGGCAAGAGTTCCACGTGCCCACTGCAGCCCTCCTCCCTGGCAACCGTCTCCATGGCAACATGTGTTGTGGTTGCCAACTCCACATTAGCACTGCGGGGAAGCGGGCGATGGGCAGGCCCAGTCCTGGGAGGGGAGGGGAAAGGCCACAGTAGAACAGGACCATGGGCAACTGTGTCTCCGGTGACTCCCTGAGCAAGGAAGACCAGAAGGCCAAAGGTGACCAACCCCTGGGGCCCAGCCACGCTCAGGGAGGCCCCACGGGAGTGGCCTCCCAGCCCCTTAGCCTCCAGGCCTCGGCCTCTGCGGGTCCTTCTGCCTGGAACACCCACCCCTCCCCGACCTCTCTGGCCTCCGAGCTTTCAAGCACATTACTGCTCACTCTGGGCTGGGACTTGTCGGCCTCCATGACAGGAGCGGGAGCCACGTCAGTCCGCTTGCCTAGGGTGCAGCACAGGCCTGGGATTCCAGAGATGCCTCTAACTATTGGCCAAGCGAGCGACTGACCCTTGCTACCCTTTTCTCTCCCACAGAGAAGCTGAAGAAATCCAAGATCATCTTTGTGGTGGGTGAGTCGCAGGCGGGCAGGCGGCGTGGCTAGTGGGGGGGTGGTCTTTGCAGGCGCCAGTGGAAGCCCCGGCCTGGAGCTGCACCCTGGGCTCTGCCCCTCCCTTGCTGGGGTCCCTGGTGGCCCCTGTCTCAGGGTTTCTGAATGAGTGGGCCCTTGCAGGCGGGCCTGGCTCGGGGAAGGGCACGCAGTGTGAGAAGATCGTGCAGAAGTACGGCTACACCCACCTCTCAACGGGGGACCTGCTGCGGGCTGAGGTCAGCTCAGGCTCAGCCAGGGGCAAGAAGCTGTCAGAAATCATGGAGAAGGGGCAGCTGGTGCCGCTGGTGAGTGGGCCCTGGTGGCGTGAGGGGAATGCGTGATGGTGACCCTGAGCGGGCACATGCCAGCAAAGCCCATGACATATTGGCAAGGCTGACCACAACCCTTCCAGGCTCTGAACCCTCCTGTGGTTCCCACTGCCTGTGGCACAAAATTCCTTCTGGAAGCTCCCGAGACCCTGCAGGACCCTGCCCTGCTGCCCACTCTCCCCTGTATTCTGTCCTCTGGCCACCTTGGCCTTTGTGTCCCTTCAAACTGGCCACCCTCCTTTCTGCCTGGAATGTTCTTTCCTCTTCAGCTTTCAGACCCCCCGATTCCCCAGATTTGGGCTAAGACCCCCCCCTAATTTTATATTCCATTAGCCTCCCTTCTTTGCTCAGACACCTTGTGTCATGCTGGGAAATTGACGAATTGACCGTGGGATTGTCGGGCCCTCATCAGACCCTGAGCTCCCCCAGGACAGGGAAGGTCTGATTTGCCCACAGCGGTGTCCTCAGGGCTCGGGCCGCCACCTGGCTGGGAGGAGGGCTCAGGAAACACCGTGGTGTGACATGCATGCTTCATTCATCTGGCCAAGGGCTCCACAGTTCCATGGAGGCTTCCCGGGGCAGGAGACCTGTTTGGGACATTTGTGTCAGAGAGGAGGGGCGTTTGAGGCAGTGGGACCAGCACAAGCAACGGCGCAGAGAAGGGATGGGGAGGCTTACGTCCCCTTCCTCCTGCTGCGCCCCAGGAGACAGTGTTGGACATGCTCCGCGACGCCATGGTGGCCAATGCAGAGACTTCCAAAGGCTTCCTGATCGACGGCTACCCGCGGGAGGTGCAGCAGGGAGAAGAGTTTGAGCGGCGGGTAAGGCAGGAGCTGTGATAATGGGCAGAGTTTGGGGTGTAGTGGGGGAGAGGGGGAGGGGCTGATTCATGGGCTGTGGGTGAGGAGGAAAACCAGGAAGACTTTCTGGAAGTCTAGAAGAAGGTCTAGAAGGGAAAGCCCCAGTTTGGGGAGGTCACAAACCTGGGCTCAGGTTCCAGCTCAACGTCTTGAGACCTTGGGCCATTCTTTCTGCGTCTCTAAACTTCAGTTTTCCCAACTGCAGAATGTGGGTGACAGGTCACAGCTCTGTAAAGGGCAGCGTGGGGATTAGAGAGGATGCTCCCTTCCAGTGTGGGCTTGGCGCCCGGTAAACACACAGTTGGAGCAGCAGGGAACAGCAATGGCAGGATGGAAGGGTAAGGCTGCTGTGGGGAGAGCACAATATGTGGGCAGGCCGACCCGGGTGATGTGCGCAAGGCGGTTCAGGCCTGGCTGGGGGACTCGAATGTCAGGGAGGGGCCTCTGGTCTCCTTCCAGGGACAGTCTGGCTGGAAAGAACAAGCCTGGGGGATAAGGGCTCTGAGCTTCCTAGCATGGTGCCCACCAGGAACACCTTGCACAAGGTGGGGGCACCCCACACAAGCACACACATGGACATGCGCACACATACATGTAAACACATGTGCCTGTGTGTACATCACGCACAAACACATGAACACGGGTACACACATGTGCATGGGCTCACAAGTTTGCATACACAAGGCCACATGCATGTGCAAACAGGCGCACACATATGTACAGTGCACATTTGCACTGGGAGGTACATGTGTGTGCGCGCACACAGGCACACGCACATGTGGACCTCTACCTCTGCTGTCACAAGGCAATATGGGAAGCAGATGTGGCTACAAGTGCCTAGGAGAGAGGCCGGCCAGGGTGTGTGGGGGCTGGCCGTGCATCCCAGCGGGCTGGGTCCCCCTCCCCATCTCTGTGGGGCCGCCTTTGGGCTTCCGCAGCTTCAAGCTTCATCCAGGAGCAGGAGACTGTCTTTCTTAACCTCTGAGTGGCTGCAAACCCTCAGGAAAGTGTCTGCCCAGCTCTGGACTTCAGTTTCCCCTCCGTGACATGGTGTTGGCTGGCTTCCTTCAGACCCCGGACTCTGGACCCTGTGGTCAGGTGCCAGGCCACACATTACAGCTGTGTGGCGTTACCTGCGACCCTCAGGGCCACACCTAGAAATGGGGCTAACGGAAGTCCCCGTCCCTCCTGGGGCTGCAGTGGGTGCTGCTGAGGGTGGCAGGCTCCACACAGGGCCCAGCCCTGCGGTGGCCTCCGGGCAGCTGACCTTCTTGGCTCTGGACACCAGGGGGAGCCAGGGCTTCACCAAAGGAGGGAGGGCCGCCTGGAGATGCCGATTGCTCACCTGATTAAAGGGCCAGAGCTTTCCTGGGGCGGGCAATGCCTGGCACCATCTCCCCAGGCTAAATGCCCATTGTTCTGATTGAGAAACTGAGGTCCCATGGCTAGAATCTCAGCCTGGGCCTCCCAGCCCAGAGGCTAAGCTGCACTCATGGACTTATCACCTCCACCTGGGGTGTACCTACCGTGCATGGCCCTGGGAGACTGTGGGTCTGGCCCTGGAGGAGCTCAGTAGCTGATGGGTGAGGGGGAAGTGGTGGCCTTGGAGGCGGTCAGACTGCTGGGGCCAGGCCCAGCCTTTGCTACCACGGTCATCTGAAAGATAGGAGCACTGGGGTAGCTTGTGTGGGGTCATTGGGAAGCAGGAGCCACCCTCCCCAAAGGCAGCTGACACTGTACCCCTGAATCCTGAACTACCCAGGAAGTAGGGACGGGCATCAGGGTGGGTATTGCAAGCAAGGAAACCGAGGCCCAGCGAGGGCAGGTGGCTCCCCAAGGTCACACAGCTGGACGGGTCAGAGAGAGCCTGGGAAGAGGTCGGCCTGGAGGTCAGGCTTCCTCCCGCCGAGTCCCTGTGACAGGCAGCACCCATGGGACCTTAATGAGGGGTCTGGTCGACATCGGCCCAGGGGCCCTTGGGGACTGGCCCCGGCAGTCAGGAAGGGGACACAGGGTTTTGAGGGTCCCAGCCCCAATCCTGAGGCTGCGGCAGCCTCGGGTGGCTCCTTCCCTAGCTCTGGTGGGAGGCCCAGGGCCCTGCCTCACCTGGTGTGCCGGGCTGGGCCGTGCCAGGCCCGGGGACCTGCTCTCGGGGACTCGTGGTCAGACTGCAGGAAAGGCTGCCGTCTCCTCAGTGTGGAGGCCAGCCTGGGCAGGGGACACCGTGGACACCTGGGCAGGGGATACTGGTGACCAATCTGAGCAGGGCAGGGGCTGCGGGGACTTATTCCTTGTTTCCTTCCCTGCAATGACGCACCATCCCAACAACAGCAGCCTGACTCAGAGTCCCCAGAACTCAGCAGCCCCTCACCCCCTCCCTTGTCCCTTGCCCCTCTGTCAGTTCTTATCCTGCCCAAGGGTGTACAACAGCTGCCTGCCTGCCCTCGGGACCACACTCTAGGGAGAAATAAATGGGGCCCCAAGAGTCTGTCCCCGAGGCCGGAAGTTGTGGGGTGGGGGCATCTGGGGAGACAGCCCTGAAGGAATGAGATCGAGCTGGGCCCTGAAGGTCAGGTGTTGGTGTTGAGACGAAGGTGGGTTAGATCAGGCTCAAGAGAAAGGGCTCCTAGCAGAGGGAAGGGCACAAGCGCAGGACTGGCATGGGGCGGAGGCAGAGAGCCTAGGGCAGAGTCAGGGTGGCTGAAGCAAGGAGAGGACGGGACGGTGGGGCAGGCGGGGCCCAGCCATGCAGGCCCTGTAGATCTGGTGAGGAGTGTGGGCTTTCTCCTGAGGGCACTGGGGAGCCATGGGAGAGGTTTGAGCAGGGGAGTGGCAGGGAAGATTGCTTTTAGGATCCCTCGGGCTGCCATGAGGAAAGGACAGAAGGTCTGAGTGAGTCTCGAGTAGGGCCTCAGAGGCGGGAAGATGGAGAGGAGATGGCCCCAGGGGGCAGGAATGGGTCCCTGTGACATGGTGCCCCGCCCGCAGATTGGACAGCCCACACTGCTGCTGTATGTGGACGCAGGCCCTGAGACTATGACCATGCGGCTCCTGAAGCGGGGGGAGAACAGCGGGCGTGTGGATGACAATGAGGAGACCATCAAGAAGCGGCTGGAGACCTATTACCAGGCCACGGAACCCGTCATCGCCTTCTATGAGAAACGCGGCATCGTGCGCAAGGTGCGCCCGCCTCTGCCCGCCAGAGGGGAGCCCCGGAAGGAAGTCTGGGTCCTCGCCTGGCTCA